TTTTTCTTTTTTTCTTTCTTTTTTTTTTTTTTGAGGGGCAGGGCATGTCAATAGAGAGATCAGTTACCTCATATTTCCAGAGCGATGCAATCTCACTAAACAATCGGATCACTAAAGATGTTGCCTTTTCATGATGTCATACACATATATCATGGAGATGGATAACAGTTAGCAAAGGGCAAAACACGAGAATGGTAACTTTGTTATGTACCTCATTACATTGAAAACTGCTGTGGAAAGTGACTAAAATGACGTTGTGAAGTATTGCTGTGGACCGAGGGTACTGTGTGACATTTAAGTGGAAGAATATGAGTATATGCAATGAAGGAGAGGTTGCCAGGTGTACCACCATCCTTACAAACCATTATGAAAAATTGAACATGTCTTCTTGTGTTTAAGATTACACTTTCACAGTTAAGTACATAGAAATCTGGATGGAAATGTGACAACTGGAGCCAATTGTCGCAGTGGTACTGAAAAAAGGGATCTAGGACTACTAGTTGCGTTGCCTAGGAAACGGTACATATCATACATACAAAGCATACTACATATGATAAAAGGTTTGCCCTCTAAGGAAAAAAAGCGAAGTCTAGTGATTGCTAAGTAAACTTCTAACAACTGTTGTCACCTTTGTGTGTTTTTGAAAATGATACAAACAATGAAGAATTGCTACGTATAAGGTCATTGTTGGACATTTACTTGGGATATGAGCATGTTAAATTGTCTTTAACTACTTCTTGGCGATCGTCAGGTGAGTAATGAGTCATCATATAGAGTAATGAGTCATCATATAGAGTAATGAGTCATCATATAGAGTAATGAGTCATCATATAGAGTAATGAGTCATCATATAGAGTAATGAGTCATCATATAGAGTAATGAGGCATCATATAGAGTAATGAATCATCATATAGAGTAATGAGTCACCATATAGAGTAATGAGTCATCATATAGAGTAATGAGTCATCATATAAAGTAATGAGTCATCATATAGAGTAATGAGTCATCGTATAGAGTAATGAGTCATCGTATAGAGTAATGAGTCATCATTTAGAGTAATGAGTCACCATATAGAGTAATGAGTCACCATATAGAGTAATGAGTCATCATATAGAGTAATGAGTCATCATATAGGGTAATGAGTCATCATATAGAGTAATGAGTCATCATATAGAGTAATGAGTCATCATATAGAGTAATGAGTTATCATATAGAGTAATGAGTCATCATATAGGGTAATGAGTCATCATATAGAGTGATGAGTCATCATATAGAGTAATGAGTCATCATATAGAGTAATGAGTCATCATATAGCGTAATGAGTCATCATATAGAGTGATGAGTCATCATATAATGAGTCAATATGAATCATCATATATAGAGTAATGAGTCATCATATAGAGTAATGAGTCACCATATAGAGTAATGAATCATCATATAGATTAATGAGTCACCATATAGAGTAATGAATCATCATATAGAGTGATGAGTCATCATATAGAGTAATGAGTCACCATATAGAGTAATGAGTCATCATATAGAGTAATGAGTCATCATATAGAGTGATGAGTCATCATATAGAGTAATGAGTCATCATATAGAGTAATGAGTCATCATATAGAGTAATGAGTCACCATATAGAGTAATGAATCATCATATAGAGTAATGAGTCACCATATAGAGTAATGAATCATCATATAGAGTAATGAGTCATCATATAGAGTAATGAGTCATCATATAGAGTAATGAGTCATCATATAGAGTAACGAGTCATCGTATAGAGTAATGAGTCGCCATATAGAGTAATGAGTCATCATATAGAGTAATGAGTCATCATATAGAGTAATGAGTCATCATATAGAGTAATGAGTCATCATATAGAGTAATGAGTCACCATATAGAGTAATGAGTCACCATATAGAGTAATGAGTCATCACATAGAGTAATGAGTCGCCATATAGAGTAATGAGTCGCCATATAGAGTAATGAGTCACCATATAGAGTAATGAGTCATCATATAGAGTAATGAGTCACCATATAGAGTAATGAGTCACCATATAGAGTAATGAATCATCATAGAGAGTAATGAGTCAGCATATAGAGTAATGAATCATCATATAGAGTAATGAGTCATCGTATAGAGTAATGAGTCGCCTTATAGAGTAATGAGTCATCATATAGAGTAATGAGTCATCATATAGAGTAATGAGTCATCATATAGAGTAATGAGTCATCATATAGAGTAATGAGTCATCATATAGCGTAATGAGTCATCATATAGAGTGATGAGTCATCATATAGAGTAATGAATCATCATATAGAGTAATGAGTCATCATATAGAGTAATGAGTCACCATATAGAGTAATGAATCATCATATAGAGTAATGAGTCACCATATAGAGTAATGAATCATCATATAGAGTAATGAGTCATCATATAGAGTAATGAGTCATCATGTAGAGTAATGAGTCATCATATAGAGTAATGAGTCATCGTATAGAGTAATGAGTCGCCATATAGAGTAATGAGTCATCATATAGAGTAATGAGTCATCATATAGAGTAATGAGTCATCATATAGAGTAATGAGTCATCATATAGAGTAATGAGTCATCATATAGAGTAATGAGTCATCATATAGAGTAATGAGTCACCATATAGAGTAATGAGTCATCATATAGAGTGATGAGTCGCCATATAGAATAATGAGTCGCCATATAGAGTAATGAGTCATCATATAGAGTAATGAGTCATCATATAGAGTAATGAGTCATCATATAGAGTAATGAGTCACCATATAGAGTAATGAATCATCATATAGAGTAATGAGTCACCATATAGAGTAATGAATCATCATATAGAGTAATGAGTCATCGTATAGAGTAATGAGTCGCCATATAGAGTAATGAGTCATCATATAGAGTAATGAGTCATCGTATAGAGTAATGAATCATCATATAGAGTAATGAGTCATCATATAGAGTAATGAGTCATCATATAGAGTAATGAGTCATCATATAGAGTAATGAGTCATCATATAGAGTAATGAGTCATCATATAGAATACATACAAGAAATCAATATAATGTCAGATGATAACAATACGACGGCGACTCTGTGAGATTAACGGGAGAGAATCCAATTAGGTACAGCCAAACTGCAGTAATGGGGCTAGTTAAATAGGCATCGGGCCAACTATGGTAAACATAGCAGATAGTCATGCACATGCTAACATACATCGCTGATGCAGATATATGTCCAAGTCAAGTGATGATGTCACTATCCTTAGTTATGAGAACGACTAGTTCCTGACGACGGAGTTTTGATAGGTTGGCTCTGCGAAGGAAAAAAGATGTAAGTCAGTGATATTGGTGATACAGAATCCGCCATTGTGTGTACAACTTAACTCCCTTTCGCATTGTACAAAGAGATCTTTTACTCTACCATGACTACATCAAATACTGGAATTTGAATGGACAAACAATACATCAATAAATGAATGAACTATCACTTTGGATTGAAAAATTCGTCTGATTTTATGGGACTGCTTTCACAGCACACGCACACAACTTTACTGTCGTACTACTTCAGCTTGGCACCAACATGACTGATGGAAATGTTCAAAATAAAACATTTATTAAAACTCGAAAAAAATACAATTATGTACAATTTTCCTTCACAATTATTAGGGAACCTCACTATCACATTACTTTATATTACAAGAATATTCAAACTCAATTGCCCAACCGTTAACAAGCAACTTTAAAAAACCCAATAAATATCCTTTGTGCAAGATTTACAGATAACCATCCTGGTAAAGCATATGTTTGCTTCCTTTTAGAGAGTATCAATTCGGTTTTACATTTATCTAATTTTCAAAACATATTAAGTTTAACTCTAAATGATTAGGTTGTCATAGCAATTTGACCATACGGTTTCTAATTCCGTTATTAAATATGGGCTATCAACTCGCTTGCGGTGAAACATATAGGCAACATACATATCAGTAACCATCGATGTTTCAACATGTGACAAACTACTATTATTTGTGTTAAAAACCCATTTATTAATCATATTAACATCCTTTATGCATGTATAATTAATGTATATATTGTAGTATCGTAAAGACTCACAGGTGCTTTGTGAAAGTTAAAGCATTTTATCTCAAACCACAATATGTGAATCTGGATTAAAACAGATGCCGAACGATGCATGCGAATCCCTAAACTAACTAACGCTTAGTCTCAGACTATATATATTGATAGTAAAAATATAACCCATTTAAATTGAAAAAGAGCCCAGTGAAATGGGAAGTTCAAAACCTGAGGAAATCTAGACTTGCTCCATATGGGGACGTTAAGGAGGGCTAGGTAGTAAAGAAAATAATGTGGTTCAGGGGAACTGAGACAGGGGACTTGCGGATCCCCAGTGGATCTGGTGGTCAGGCTCGGTGATGTAATTTATCTGACCGCCGTCATCTCATTCGAATATTTAGTGTGCGGCTGAAACAACAAATTTTATAACTGGCTTGTTCTCAGTTCTGATGCTATTAAAGTAATAGCTACAAGTCAAAGTGCCCAACTTACCGTCGTCGTATTTCTGTGCTTTGGTTGGTTTTACTTTCTTGTCTTTTGCTGGGGTAAAAAAAAAGGATAAATACAGATAAGGACATCATGTTGTTTTACAGCACGGATATACATGTACCACTGATAAACATGACTTATATAGAACTGTTCAACAGGACCATGTACCGCTGATAAACAGGACTTATATAGAACTGTTAAACTGGACCATGTACCGCTGATAAACAGGACTTATATAGAACTGTTAAACAGGACCATGTACCGCTGATAAACAGAACATATATAGAACTGTTAAACAGGACCATGTACCGCTGATCAACAGGACTTACATCAAACTGTTAAACAGGACCATGTACCGCTGATAAACAGGACTTATATAGAACTGTTAAACAGGACCATGTACCGCTGATAAACAGGACCTATATAGAACTGTTAAACAGGACCATGTACCGCTGATAAACAGGACTTATATAGAACTGTTAAACAGGACCATGTACCGCTGATAAACAGAACATATATAGAACTGTTAAACAGGACCATGTACCGCTGATGAACAGAACTTATATAGAACTTTTAAACAGGACCATGTACCGCTGCTAAACAGAACATATATAGAACTGTTAAGCAGGACCATGTATCGCTGATAAACAGAACATATATAGAACTGTTAAACAGGACCATGTACCGTTGATAAACAGAACATATATAGAACTGTTAAACAGGACCATGTACCGCTGATAAACAGGACTTATATAGAACTGTTAAACAGGACCATGTACCGCTGATAAACAGAACATATATAGAACTGTTAAACAGGACCATGTACCGCTGATAAACAGGACTTATATAGAACTGTTAAACAGGACCATGTACCGCTGATAAACAGAACATATATAGAACTGTTAAACAGGACCATGTACCGCTGATGAACATGACTTATATAGAACTGTTAAACAGGACCATGTACCGCTGATAAACAGAACATATATAGAACTGTTAAACAGGACCATGTACCGCTGATGAACATGACTTATATAGAACTGTTAAACAGGACCATGTACCGCTGATAAAAAGAACATATATAGAACTGTTAAAGAGGACCATGTACCGCTGATAAACAGAACATTTATAGAACTGTTAAACAGGACCATGTATCGCTGATAAACAGAACATATATAGAACTGTTAAACAGGACCATGTACCGCTGATAAACAGGACTTATATAGAACTGTTAAAAAGGACCATGTACTGCTGTTAAACAGGACTTATATAGAACTGTTAAACAGGACCATGTACCGCTGCTAAACAGGACTTATATAGAACTGTTAAACAGGACCATGTACCCCTGATAATTAGGACTTATATAGAACTGTTAAACAGGACCATGTACCGCTGATAAACAGGACATATATAGAACTGTTAAACAGGACCATGTACCGCTGCTAAACGGGACTTATATAGAACTGTTAAACAGGACCATGTACCGCTGATAAACAGGACTTATATAGAACTGTTAAACAGGACCATGTACCACGGATAATTAGGACTTATATAGAACTGTTAAACAGGACCATGTACCGCTGCTAAACAGGACCTATACAGAACTGTTAAACAAGACCATGTACCGCTGATAAACAGGACTTATATAGAACTGTTAAACAGGACCATGTACCGCTGATAAACAGGATCTATATAGAACTGTTAAACAGGACCATGTACCACTGATAAACAGGACTTATATAGAACTGTTAAACAATACCATGTACCGCTGATAAACATGACTTATATAGAACTGTTAAACAGGATCATGTACCGCTGATAAGCAGAAGATATATAGATCTGTTAAACAGGACCATGAACTGTTAAACAGGACCATGTACCGCTGATAAACAGGACATATATAGAACTGTCAAACAGGACCATGTACCGCTGATAAACATGACTTATATAGAACTGTTAAACAGGACCATGTACCACTGATAAACAGGACTTATATAGAACTGTTAAACAAGACCATGTACCGCTGATAAACATGACTTATATAGAACTGTTAAACAGGATCATGTTCCTCTGATAAGCAGAACATATATAGAACTGTTAAACAGGACCATGAACTGTTAAACAGGAGCATGTACCGCTGATAAACAGGACATATACAGAACTGTTAAACAGGACCATGTACCGCTGATAAACAGGACTTATATAGAACTGTTAAACAGGACCATGTACCGCTGCTAAACGGGACTTATATAGAACTGTTAAACAGGACCATGTACCGCTGATAAACAGGACTTATAAGCAACTGTTCAACAGGACCATGTACCACTGATAATTAGGACTTATATAGAACTGTTAAACAGGACCATGTACCGCTGATAAACAGGATCTATATAGAACTGTTAAACAAGACCCTGTACCGCTGATAAACAGGACTTACATAGAACTGTTAAACAGGACCATGTACCGCTGATAAACAGGACTTATATAGAACTGTTAAACAGGACCATGTACCGCTGCTAAACAGGACTTATATAGAACTGTTAAACAGGACCATGAACTGTTAAGCAGGACCATGTACCGCTGATAAACAGGACATATATAGAACTGTTAAACAGGACCATGTATCGCTGATAAACAGGACCTATATAGAACTGTTAAACAGGACCATGAACTGTTAAACAGGACCATGTACCGCTGATGAACAGGACTTATATAGAATTGTTAAACAGGACCATGTACCGCTGCTAAACAGAACATATATAGAACTGTTAAACAGGACCATGTATCGCTGATAAACAGAACATATATAGAACTGTTAAACAGGACCATGTACCGCTGATAAACAGAACAAATATAGAACTGTTAAACAGGACCATGTACCGCTGATAAACAGAACTTATATAGAACTGTTAAACAGGACTATGTACCGTTGCTAAACAGGACTTATATAGTGAGTGAGTGAGTTAAGATTTAAAGTCACATCGGCAATATTTCAGCCATATCGTGACTAATACTAGTTCTCAATTGGTAATACAGACATATAATATATAAAACCCTGTCAACGAAGGACAGTAAAAATACTAGATAATCACAGCTATCAATATAAAACTAGCGAACAAAGCTAAAACATTCCAATTAAAGAAGACAATACAATGTAAAAATGGGCTATAGATCGCCAACAACTGAAGGTAGATCACCATACTAGGGACCATGGGGACTTACAGTGCCTTTGCTACCTGCATGGACCCTAGTTGGATTTACACCATCCCTTCAGCCGCTGGCGATTGTGGGACATCTTTAGCCGAAAGTTAAAGGAACAAATATACTACGTTTAAAATCGGGTACGCAAAAATTTAACTTTGGAAGTTTTAGGACTTACGTACCCTCTCAGGAGGACATAATAATTTTACAATACTTCAACCCCTTTGAGGGTACAACCACTAACAATCTCAGTCACTAATTCAAACTACCAATAATAAAATATATATCTATTTACAAATCATAACAAATCTAATTCTTTTAAAAATGCAATAATTAAATGAGAACTGACATTATTAAAAGATCCTTCATAGTGTTTACTTTGATATAGTTATCCCTTGTGATGGAATATTCAATGCAGTCAAGCAGGACATGCTTGACTGTGATTCTTCATCACAAGGGATGCAAAAAGCTGGAGAGGATCTTCGCCTTTCAATAAATATTCATGAGTATATCTAGTGTGGCCAATGCGACATCGCCGCATAATGACCTCTTCAAATCTGGACTGACAACCCAAGTAGGTGTAACCAATGTAGGGTTTTATTGCATGTAATTTATTAATACCTACTTGGGTGTCCCACTTCTTCTGCATTAGATCGCGGATGTATGTTCTAATGCTGGCTTTATAATCAGAGTATGGGATAAGAAGTGGTGTCACAGAATTGTTGAGTGCTGCCTTAGCAGCAAGATCAGCCAATGTGTTCCCAGAAATGCCCACGTGGCTGGGTAACCAACAAAAGACGATGTCGCATTGGCCAGTAGCAAGCTCATTATATAATTCAATAATTTCTAATAAAAGTGGATGTTTTACAAGAGATATTTTTAATAGCCTGAAGGCAAGAAAGTGAGTCAGAAAGATGATATATTGTTGATATTTACGGTGATTTTTAATATATTTTTAAGGCTGTTAATATGGCGTTTTGCTTCTGCTGTAAAAATAGAGCTGTTATCTGGTAATCGAGAGGAGATTGTTCTGGATCCAATGACAGTGGCACAAGCCACCGCGCCACCATCCTTGGACCCATCTGTGAATAAGGATTTGTGAGTATTGTAATTATTTTTTAATTGATTATATTCTTGTTTATATTGTAAGTCATTAGTTACAGATTTCTTAAACTTTGTCAGAGTTAGGTCAACTTCAGGCCTCACCAGTTGCCAAGGCGGAGAAGAAAGAAGACGGGAAGGAGCTATATTTTCCAGCTCAATGCCGGCAGCAGAAATAAAGGACTTAATTCTGTGCCCAAGAGGCGGAACAAGAGAAGGTTTTTGTTGTATAAATCCTCATAAAGGGGATTAAAGACACAGTTAAATGCAGGATTAGACTCGCTAGAATATAGTTTAGTAATGTATTGTAAAGATAATTTTATACGGCCTTGTGTAAGAGAAGGCTCATCTGCTTCAACAGAGAGACTATCAATGGGAGAGGTTCTAAAGGACCCAAGACAAAGCCTTAGGCCTTGGTGGTGGACAGAATCAAGTAGTTTTAGGTTGCTTTTGCAGGCTCCACCATAAACAATGGAGCCATAATCAAGTTTCGAGCGGACCAATGATCGATATAGGTGGAGGAGGTAGCTTGATCCCTCCCACTTTGAGTTGAAACAACTTTCAACAAATCAATTGCCTTCAGGCATTTAGCTTTTAAAGGGATTTAATATGCGGCAAAAAAGTTAAATGGGAGTCAAAAATTAGACCCAAGAACTTGGCCTCCTTGACAACTTTGATCGGAGTGCCATTTAAAGATAGTTCTGGATCTTTATGCGGCTTATATTTTCTACAAAAGTGTAGACAATTAG